AGGGGGGGGGGGGGGGGGCTGACACTTCTATTGTCCATTGTGTGTAAGTATGAGCGGGTGTGTGCCTTGCACGTTTGCGCACTTCATGTAAACAGATAAATGAAAAGACTATCTTATATTATGTTTTATCAACACACTGTGCGTCATAAGTACCTAATAAATATCAAGTGAATTGTTTCTTGTGAATTCGAGTAATGAACGAATGCTTTCTTAATTTCCTAGCGTTTACCTGAACAAACAGCCCTATACGTCCATACATATCTCAGATTTGGCACTCTATAAATGTAATATCCCCCAGGACATTTCCTCACATAGATGACGTCACCTTTGGTATGAGACGATTCTCCCGGGGTGGAACAGCAGTAGCTAGAAGACAACCTAGAGCACAGCGTGTGTTTTACTATCCCATCTGCTGCCGTGGGATGGTCCCCTAACATCCACATAGGGTATTGCACCCCACAACGATTCCTACTTGGACACTAAAATGAATTCAACAAACTATGGAGTAGAAAACTGTTAACAGCAGAGCTCTCGAAAGTTAATAAATACATTTAGTCCTAATTTTATCTTGGCTGACATAAGGATTCATGGCTAGAGTCATAACTACTCACCTTTTCATTCTTGCAAAAATGAAAACAGATGCTGTCAAAGTACCAAACCTGGACTGTTTTGTTTTTTTAACGCTGCCTTACTATATAGCTGTAAAAATTCCAATGTGTATTTTGCATAAAATTTTGAATTTGTCTTACCTTTGATATTGCTGATCGGCCGACCTCAGATATTTTAGAAAATTCATTTATACTTAATACCTTATGTGTAATATTACCGTATCGGCGACTTTATTTCCAGCATCTCCAGTAACACGGAACCACTCGTGGGTCATTCCTATCTCTTGAGCATAATATGAACTACCGAAGCTTGTCTTTCGCCAAGCTTCATCAAATTCCACATAGTCCTGGCAGGGGTCAACTAAAACAAACGAAAAAAGTGCTTTATTTCCCTACACCCTTGGGTTTGACGATATAAGAAATGTACCTCCTTCTTTAACTGCTCTTTAACTTCATTTTTAATTAACAATATTAGGACTCCAGATTTTTGAGTCCCCAGCACTTACCCCCTGGTGTTGCCTCAGAAAACGCTATGGATAAAAACGCAAGTAAAAGAAACATACTGCTGGTGGGTTCGTCAAAATTGTCAAGCGAATAATCTGGTCCACATTATATCTATAGACGTCAGCGAATCAGATGCGGATGCCACTGATGTTCACGCGTAGTCATTAATCGCGGTTTTTCATTGGTCAAATTTTATCTTATAAATGGGTACAATTTCCACAGAGGCATTTGCTGTTCAAACGGCTCATAGAAATGAAGCTCAAGCTCCTTGCTCTCATACTCGTGTGGTGGGCCTCGGCATGTGCGCATGCTAGTGGTAAGGCAATTTCAAATCAATGAAAACGTGTTTTAACACTTGTTTTATTTATATATCCGTAAACACTTTTTCAAAAGAAGAGAAGATCGGTATAAACATGAATATTTAAGTAGTATAATGAAGTCTTACAGCGTTCTTTTTAATTTAATCGGGGTAATATATCCTTACAACCCCGTCAGTAATCCTTAATAAAAAAGTATTATTTTTTAATGCGTAGTGGTAAAAACTGATTTTTTTTAAATTAGAATCGGACCCATGTCACAACTATCGACCAATAACAGATGAATGGAGAAACATCAACTATGGACAAAAGTATTTTTGTGATGTCCGTCGGCAGTGGCATGATTGGTATCGCTTCATGGGCAGAGCTGGGAACAAGATGCCAGATACGGTAGGCTTGACACTATTGGCTTCTGCTTGTTTTCATAGTATAATAATTATGACTAAAGAAGTAACCCGTCATTAGAACCACACATTTATTTGCAAACAGTGGCTTTGATTACATGCATATACTCTCAATACACATTGTATACAATTCAACATTTAATTTGATCATTGGGATGAGCTCTTTCACATAATTATACCCTGTTGATGTCAAGGCATAATTCATTCATATTTTCCTTTATTTATAGTATCCATCAAATAATAGATGCGGGACGACGTATCCAATCTGGTTGACAGGCGGTCACCCAAAGGTCGCTGATGGCATCGTGAAACGCCGTTTATGCACATATTATTCGTCTACATGTGCAACTAGCTCGCACCATGGCCATCTTCAAAACTATGAATACGCCTTCGTCAAAAAATGTCCTGGTGGATACTTTGTGTACAAGTTCCCCTCTCTTCAATACTTGTGCAATAGAGCATTTTGTGGAGGTAGGTTTAGTTAAGATCGTTATGTGTCTAACACGGAAGTTTCTTTTTATTACATTCAACGCAATATACACGGAAGTTTCTTTTAATTACATTCAACGCAATATAATGTAATTTACAATTATGTAACTTTTACATTCCCTTTATGGTCTTGATTTCTTGATTTTACGTGTAGCACATGTGTACATGTACAATGTACCGGTAAGTGACGAGTTCAGCTTAATAATATTGGCCATGGAAATGTTCCAGTGACAGACACAAGCGATCCATGCCTGGACAGCAACTGTACTTACGGCTGTGTGAACCACAATGGGAAAGCTCAATGCACATGTCCAGCTCATGTGCTCAATTCGTACCAGAACCAAAGCTGTGGTAAGTATATTAAAAAAAGTAGTACATGTATGGATTTAATATTAAAAGGGTTATTGGGAAACAGGATCGACAAAAATACAGATATTTAATATTAGAGAAAAAACTTTTTCAGCCGTCTACCTTTGACATTTTATGATATCGTAGCCATCACGTTATTCTCATTTATAACGTAATGTAATTCCCGTCATCGTCATGTTTCAGTTTCCCCTTGCTCCGTTAACAATGGTGGATGCACACACACTTGCCGGTCAGCTGGAGCTGGTAGCCGAACATGTGAATGCCCAGCAAATATGGAGCTTGACAAAGACCAAAGAACGTGCGGTATGGATGTCATTTAACACATTTAACGCAGATTATTGTTTATTCCTGCTGTATTTGCTCTTAATGTCAACTCACTGTGCAGTTTAACTTCAACGGTGCAGTTGTATTAAATTTAATGAATAGTTTACCTATTTCTTTATCAACGTAATGCCTACTTTCAGTGGATCCATGTAAAAAGTACAACTTGTTAGATCAAGCTTGGAGAAATGAGCGTTATGGAAATGACGAATACTGTGATAACACCGGAAGTTTCGAAGGCTGGTACAGGTTTATGTACGGAGCCGGAAACCGAATGTCAGACAAAGTAAGCGAGATAATTTTAACGATAACGCAAACGTTTTCATATAGCAAATAAACGATAATTAATTAAAAACTGTAAACATGTATAATGGTTGCTTCACTGGGCTAATATGAATGTTAAATGAGAAAAAAATTCATTGATATGCAGCAGGCCTATGTTAATTTTCTAGTCATGGTGACATGGTGTTCATTCAAACCATGCATTGTTAAGGTAAAGGCAATGTGGTTCTATGGCTGCCGACCCCAAAACATGTACATGTGATTTCAAAATATGCAGAGTACTTGCTTTTCCAGTGTGTGCCCTGGAATCATTGTGGAGGAAATGGTAAAACACGGTGGTTATATGGCGGTCACCCAACTGTAAAGGACGGCATCGTCAAAAGAAAGATCTGCACTCGGTCCTCCAGCTCCAGCTGTACCTGTATAGACAACACTTACACCACCTTTGACTACGCCATGGTGCGGAAATGTCCGGGCGGATACTATGTGTACAAGTTCCCTCAGTTTCAGTGGGAATACTGCAAAGTTAACATGTGCGGTGGTACGTACATGTACACGAGGCAACACAACGAAAATTATCTGAAAATAATTGTTTCATTTCTCATTCCGTTGTTTGAATGCAGATATTTAAGAAATCGTCCATTACAATCAAAACTGCTTAACTTCCAAGATTGTATATTTGACTAAATAACCTTTATGCTTAAATATAATAAACTTTATGAGAAAATCCATTGCCATGGTGTCTGTTTAAAAAAAACTGCTGGATGTATGAAAAGAAATTTACGTGGTTTTGTGTTTTCATTTGGTAAAAAGTGTTTTAGCATGATAAACATGTATGAGAACCATTTAAATCGTAGTATGTCAATTTTTTATCCATTAATTATCAATTAATTATCGTGTGTGATCCGTTGCGGTCTTGGTATATGTATTATTCTACATTTTCAGTGACCGACACTAGCGACCCCTGTCTGAACAGTACTTGTACTCACGGCTGTACTGGTGACAAAGGGAGCCCAGTGTGTACGTGTCCTAGTAACCTGGTGCTGGCGGAGGACAGGAACACGTGCAGTAAGACCCATTTATAGGCTTTATTTGACATGTACATGTATAGCACGCACACTCCCTAGGAACTCCATTGCTTATCTCTGTCTTATACACTGTAGCAGTATATAACGTGGTGTAACTCGGATAACCGCACGTCTCGAATGAACTCTGACTCGGGGTCTATCTATTACGTAGGTAAATATGTATATATAGACACACCATATATTCTACAAAGAAAATTGCTATATTATATATCACGGGAAATTTTCATTAAATAAATTTAAGCTTCTATAAACCGAAGGAGCGAACTCACACATTGCACTGTTCACAAAAACCAGGAGTACATGTAGGACCCTGGTTTACAAGTATCAGGTGTACGGGTAAAAACCTGGTACACGCCCACCCATCTACGTATCCTACCATGCTATATTATCACATTACCAACCTTTACAGTGGCCCCATGTGACATAGACAATGGCGGGTGTAGTCACAGTTGTCATAGTGACGTAAATGCTACCGTCACTTGTAGCTGTCCATCTGGTCTGGTTCTGGCGGGAGATAAGAAGATTTGTGGTAAAACTAGATGACTACGTGTGTTAAGCCTCTCTTCTGTACATACACATTTAAGAGCTCGTGTTGGTAAAAGTTGATTATATTAATGTTGTAAAATTACATGCATGCACTGGAAGTTTATGTTGTCTGTGGGTGGTTTTAACAGAGATACAGATGAGCTCATAATACAACATGCTTTAATTTTATTTCTCATCACAAGATTTACCTTATTAACAACATATGGGAGAATAATTAGTTGATTTGATTGGCTTTTATATCGGAAACCCTAATCCAATTTGATGCCATATTTTATGTTAGCCGATCAAATTCAAAACAGGTTGTAGCATATACCTACAGGACAGGCCTACCTACTTTGAAATATTATATTTTATCATATCCCATTTAGTGACTCCATGCCTTCATCAAAATGGTGGTTGCAGCCATTTCTGCAAAGCAGACGACAAGGGGAAAATATCCTGTGGATGCCCGGCGAACATGGTGTTAGCGAAAGATAACAAAACATGCAGTAAGGAACTAGGATTAAGCTTACCCGTAGTTTGAAAGAAAGAAGCTAAAAAATAAAACGTGGTGTTTACCTTCCACAGAATGCGTGTAATCATTCTTGTTTATAGTTAACTATGGCTTTAACTTCAACATTTTGAAAATATTTAAATGCAAAATATAACATTTATTTAAAGTTTGGTCTTCTTCCATTCCAGTCAGCACATGCCGCATCAACAATGGCGGATGCAGTCACAACTGTACTGATAGTAACAGTGGCGCCATCTGCAGTTGTCCCGTCAGTTGGGAGCTGGGGAATGATAAACTTACTTGCGGTATGTGTTCACATGAATGTTATCTTGTTCTGTGGTTTCGTCTGTTTAAACAAAGATTTAGTTCATATTGATTTTCATACAAAACGGTGCTATATTGGAGGTCACTTTGGGTCAATTTACGCTATTCAGTGCATATTTTCCTTCATCGGCCCGCACTTGACCAGAGCAAGGAGTCATCTGTTATAACTCCTTGACCAGAGCGCTGTACACGTTTTTAGTGGAAGATGTCGCATAACTGTTGGCGTTAATTTAATGGTACTTTTAAGTCAAAACGTTAAAACGTCATTTTTCTAATTTCAGACCAGGACGCCAATGAGTGTAAAAGAAACCCTTGCTCGCAGCACGCGACATGCATCAACACGCACGGCTCGTTTAAATGCGTGTGCAACGTGGGCTATGCTGGGGATGGATTTAATTGCCATGGTAAAACAATTAATTGGATTTAATTGCCATGGTTATTTCAAACGTTATAATATTTTTTTATAAGAGTTTGAAAAAACATTTAAAAGATAATTATTTGAAGTGTAAAAACGGGCACTGGTCTCATCATAATCATGAGTAAAAATTTCACTGTTAAATCTTTTAAATCCAGGACATCAAGAGGGCAGTTAGACAGGTAAATCTATGTTTATAAATATTCATTTTAAAATATTCATTTTATCATTGTAGATGAAAGGCCAACAGACAAAAACACCAGACAGTGAGTATCAGTTTTTTTCTAATTAGTAGTATCTATCTTTTTTCAGGACTTTGAAAAAACATTGGTCTTTGGATGCATCTTCTGTATTCTATTCGTTGAACAAGAGATTTCGATTAAAAAGTACACTTGTAACAGAAAGTTTTCCTTTATGTAGGTATTCCAACTTGACATGCCATACTACCAGTACGACTGGTAGTATATTATCAAGGTAACTTTTTATGATACAGTTATAACTTCTACTATTTAAAATTGTCCTTTTGTCCTTTCTTCAAACAGTTGCCGATGCCGACTTAGAGCTGAAACCAACAGCACCGCTCAAGGTCCTATCTTGTTTGACCTCCCGACCTTGATCTACGGCCACAAGACCTTGTGGGCTACTGACATGTATGGCAACGAGAGCGCCGCCTATGTCATCACGGACAAGTACCCCAACTTCTACAACACACTGCGAAGACGGAAGGCCATTGGAAGCCGAGAGGACCTCCTCACGTGCCTCAAGGTGCTCCGTAGCTGCCCTACCGATTGCGAACGCCTAGCAAGGATCATCGTAGGTGACACCCTCGGGTTCGAGACCAAGCTGTTGGTGGAGAACTCGGCCCATGACCAAGTCTACAAAACCATGGGCCAGATCATGTGCGAGACTTACAACCATCACATTGACCCCCCAGGGAAGAGAGTGGTAGTGTTTTATAATCCCGGGGAGGACTGCGGGGACGAGTTAAGTACGTACGCATCAGAGGCGTATCTATGCTGCAACTCGGAGGACGTGTCTGGCATTGGTAAATTGACTTTCTGGAACCGGAAGTGTAGTGGAGGAGTGAAATTGTCGGAACTTCTCGTTGGCTAAAACTGTGAACACTTAAGTAAATGAAGACTGATGATGTATGACATTAAATTAGTCGAACACATTGTGCCGCAGGTGTATAACACACCTAATGTGACTGATAATTTTTTTTACATAAAACAAGCTTTAAGAATAAACACTTACAAATGAAACTGACTTTTTAAATAACGGAATGGAGAGCTGAGCAGTTTATGTCTGCATCGAATACTTCAGTCACGATATACTTTCTCTTAATCTTGATTTTATCCCTTTAAGTAAAGAAATCGATGTTCTACTTAATTTTTAGTGTCTTTTTTATTAGACTGGATGGTTAAAAGGAGAAATGAAACGAGAAAAATCTTTCTTTCTAATTTACATTTTACATTTTCTTTGTGATGAATCATTTGCAGTTAAACTAACAATATACTGAGAGTGGATGCTCAGCATGCTAGCTGCGACAGAATGCTAACTCTATCACAAAAATATGCTTTGTAATTAGGCTCCAGTTAAACACTATACGTTATACTAAAAAGTCTAAAAAATTCTTATCCAGTATATACATGTATATATTTATCACATGTATTTGTCCAAATAAAAAAGACTTTCTCCATTATATGGCGGTACTGTTTACAATTTCATGGCATTGGTGGCAACAAAATAAATTGGGAAATACAAAAATACTGTCGGTAACGAAATGCAGGTATAAAAAAAATCACAGAAACCAACTGAAAAATTATAAAATATACACATTTCAATAAATCTGATAAAGTCACATCGAAAATACTTTTTTTGTATAATTTGGTATTAATGGAATGTCCCAAAGATCTTTGTGCTTCCATATGTCATACCTGTATTGCATTGTTTCCCTGGACACATTTTAGTAGGCAAAATGCTAATAATGCTGAAGCATTTGTTTTTTTTTTATTGAACTCATTAAGATTATTTTTCTTTTAAATCCACTAACACAGGCGTTATATTTGGCGTTAATCGATAAAGTTAATCACAATATCCAAGGCATGTGTCCTACAGCAAAACGTCTTTTTCGCAATGCGCTAATAAAAAATGGACAAGGGACACAATTTGTCATCACAACAAACACAATGAACTGAGTGACACGTTGGAGGAGAGTGCACCAATATGTTGGGATGTGCTAAGCATCATAAACTAGTTGTCACATTAAAGGGGTTAATCAAAAGAAAATGAATTACTTCATAAATACATTTAAGACAATTGAGAATGATCTGAACAGCAATAACTATTTCTTTACTTTGATTAAGAGAAGGGTATGGGCTCGTCTGGCAACATTCCAACCTTCCTCTCGGTAACTATGGGCGTTCAGTTTTTCCATTATTTTACCGGATTATGAATGTCCTAGAAATAAAAAGAATCAAGTTTCAAATAAAAAAACGGAAGCATCAACATTGCCCATGGTTAGCAAAAATAAAGTCTATAGAAAAACAAAGTCTACACACCTTTTGCAAAACAAAAAATGTAATTTATTTAGAACATCGTTCAAGTACAATTATTTGCTAATAATCGCTTTTTGTGTTAGCTTAATGTTAATGGCGTCATGTCTTGTTGATACCTTCAATATTTCAATTATATAGCTTCTGGCATATTTGCATCAGCTGGATATATCCCAAATCGTCCTATTATTATACTATTTATAAAAGATGTTCGATTATAACGTGTTGAAGATAGTTGTCTTCAAGTAAACGACTATGAATACACTTCACGGCATACCCATGGTATAGCACGTCATTGCTATTAACCTGGAGTTACATGCAGTGAAATTATCCCAATCCCCTGCAGTGTGGCCAATGATTTTTTAGTTGTTTATTTCTGTATAAATTCTAAATGACTCCAACATTGTAACCTTCTTCATTCTTTTCCTGAAGGCCGTTTGATGAACCAAGTCGATTTCATCCTATGTATTATACATGTACCAAAGCCGACTTTTTTTTAATTTAGCAAATGAGCGTATACTGAATGAGTTTGCTTTAAAGCGCAGTTCAGAACAATTCTTAGCTTTGGTTTGAAATATTTCATTGTCGACGTTTATTTACATCAACCAGTAGGACAGTAGACTCACTATGCACCACCGCTATAGTCACCGCTGGTCAGTTTTCATCGTTTTGTTGTCCTTGCTCTCGTACGGACAAGGGAACAGTTTGCCCAGTGCTACGTTTCAAACAGAGCAGACCGTGGAGGGATCTGTTAACGTCAACCTTGCCCTCAATGGGTCTGTCATTAGCAGGCACAATATTCGCTCCAAATTGGAATGCTCCGTGTTTTGTCTGAATGACCCAAGGTGCGTGTCTGTGAACTTAGGGGAAATAAGTGGATCGTTGGTGTGTGAGCTGAATAGTGAAATAGCGGAGCCGGATAAACTGATTTATCGGGAGGGATTTCAACACCTTAAAATGGTGAGTCTTAATCAGACCCAGAAAATATGTGCAATAAACGTAAAAGACCAAAGGGAAACCCAAGTCAAATTGGAGGTTTCGAGATTTTAAAGTTTTTCATTATTGAAAAAAAGAAAGAAAAAACGGGTTATTTCTAAATCTTTTGTTGATCAATTTGTATTTGTACATTTTATAGATAGTTCCGGTACACAGCACTACATGTAGAACTAGGCCCTACCTATGGAAATTTTGAAAACAGCGTTCTTTTTGTTATTTTAAAACCTAACGCTAAGTCAATTTTTTCTTTTCTATTAATCAAATTTCCGCAAACAAAATCATCCAATGGGTTAATTTTATTGTTCTCGTATTCTTTCTTTTATGTCTACTTGGTGGATGTTTTAAGATGGATAATTTAGATGCCTGAAGATATCTGATGTAGAAAATGTAACTCTCATTTTAGCCGATGAACAAATGCCTCCATTATATCATAAAAAGAACGAAAAATGTGTTCCATGGGGTATTATTTTTCAGGTTACTGCCAGAAATGAATCAAATTCTTGCAATCCTCACAATTTAACTGGTAAGTGCAACAATTTCACAGGAAATATCAGCATTAATCTTCACGCAAAAGACTTCTAATGCATTCAATTTTAGATGCAATGACAATAAAAGTGCTACATGTGACCGATGAAAAAAAAACAGAGCGCATATCTAAATAGTATGTTCCTTCCGTTCACACGCAGGTTTAAAAAAGTTGCCAGAAACAAATGTTATATAACAAGCAAGTTCTTTACGTCGGCTAATGCTGAAGACATATCTTAGTGAATAGTGATAGCAGTGTTTTAAATCAATTTGTGTGATAAACACGAATAAACTCGTCGGAAAGCAAGAAAATAAAACTTCCCCTTCTGATACATGTATATCTGATAAATGATTCTCTACCATATAATGTTTCATCACAATTCAATATAGCACAATAACACTTCGAGAACTGCGTAATACATAAACCATTATAAAACCTTAGGTAAGAAATAATATCTAAAATACTCATTTTTCTCACAATTGATACTAGGTGTCCAAGCACGTGAAAATAAAATGATCTTAACATCAGTATAAATGTATATATTTTTTTAAATAGTCCCCAACGGCTTTGTACAGCTTGGAAATCATTGGTATTTGCACGGCACTGACAAGGCATGGACAGACGCCAATACCTACTGTCAGACGTTCGGCCTAGGGGTCTTCCTAACGACCATTGAATCAGAAGAAGAGAACGACTTGATTGCAACTCACGTATATAGGAGTGGAGGAAGTAAATGTCTATTAATATTGTGTTCATTCATTTACATATACATGTTGCCTGATTTATTTTTTAATTATTATCATTATTTATTTTTTGTAGAATATGTGTACTTAACAATTCGCCCTACCTGAATGTTAGTGTTTTTCATTCGGTATTATTATAATTTATTTATTTTTATCAGATTATCTTTACTACTGGAGATATTGCTCCATCATTTTTACGCGTATAACCTGATAAACCACATAAAATATTGGATAACCCCAAAAGTGTACTACCTTCTACCAGGGCTGCAGGTTAATTGTGTACTTTACTCTAGCGCGAGAATCGTATCATGTCGTGAATTAGCTACAGACGTACATGTACCTGTGGTTATCTAGTGTAATGTCCACTTGTGACCCATGTGGAGGGTAAAAGAGTACCATTTAGGGCAACAATGAACACACGCACAAACGCACACACACACACACACACACACACATACACACACACTACATGTACCTGTATATATACTGTAAATACTTTAATGCCTTATCAACATAACAATCTATTGCAGCGGATTTTTGGATTGACGGAACTCGTCACAAGACAGATGGTCATTTCATATGGAACCACAACGGTACGGGTTTGACGTTCACAAACTGGGACCCCTACAGCCCTAGCGGCCGTGGAGACTGCCTGGTCGTTGCAGTATATGAACCACGCGACTCGTACCACGGAAAATGGTATGATGATTATTGTGACGATACTTATGATTTTGTCTGTAAGTTCTATTTTTCGTCTTGCCAGTAAATGTAGGGTTTTAATTACAGCTTTGTTGAAAGATTGTTCGAAAGATTTAACTCTCCGTCTGATGCAAACATGTTACACAGTAATGTAATATGTTTCACAAAGGGTGGGACATTTTCTAGTGGTATATAGGCGTCAACAGCTCCACTCCAATTGTGCTAAGAATGTTCCGTGTAACTACCGTATGTTTCACGGCCCATTGTACCGTAACGTATACAGCAAAATTTCAAAGGATTTAATTCTCGATCCACAAGCCTCTCAAGAAAACAAAATTTGTTTCCAGCTTAATTTTTTTATGGTGAAAAACGGTATATATATCTTTTAGATATGTAACCTGAGTTTCACAGCCGACACGGACAAATTTCTTCATTTTCATATCGATTCCCATTTTTGGACACTGAGGTAACTTTACTGCGCCAAGGCCAGAACCCAAAAAGTGTGCGCACGTAAGGACATCTGAAAATGAAGACAGGTCAAATGAAGACTGAACCTCGATTCAATGATATGCGGCATTTTATATAAGATTGGAGTGGAGACAAATATTAATAATTATTAAAAAGTTAGTGAAACTTAAACCAAAGCTGAATTATCTTGATATTTTGGCAAAGAAATACCCCCACCAGTAGAAACTTAGTCATTTAGATTAGAATGTAGCAAATTGTACCTTGAGAACATAAATGAAGATAAGAAAAATGTTAAACGGAATTTCTGTTCTCCTAGATAGTGATACTACATGTACCTGCATTCTTATTAGAATTTTTGATAATATGCGTCTCTTAATATCTATTGTAGATGGCAACTTTTGGACGGTATTTAATGGTAAAAACAAATATTTAGAGGCGAAAATGTACATGTAGGTCAAGATTCAATTTACTTAATTTTGCCACAATGAAGGATATCTTAAATATTTCAAATAGCGAAAATTCACAAATAAAAGGAAAGTCTGTAGTCTGACTCTCTTTTGCAGTACGCTGTTAC